TAAAACATGGTCCAGAGGGGCTATTTGACATGCTGTTTGGATGTATTATCCGCCATGCTCAGTGAGACCTCTTTATTATGCTTCAGTAGGTATACGATGACAAGTCGGTATCTTATGTGCTCAAATTTCGCATAGTGGTACTGGCAAAAACTGTTTACGAATATCATGCTTTGGGTATCGCATAAAATGCAAAATAAATGCAAAAATACATAAATCGCAAAAAATATATATATTACAAGTAACACTCGATTACGACCCTCTTCTTTTTCTGGCTCCTCAATACGACCCCCTCCCCCCACCAGGTGTGGCGTGCCACACCACACATTTTACCCTGGCGATGACCGTTTTTTCATCAGAATCTGAAATAAGGGCAGAAACTGCTAGAGAAGAGTAAAAATCCTATTGGTCACTGAGGGGAGAAGCTGATACAATCTTTGCCTTTCTCGTTATGTTCCTTGATTTCAGCTTCACAGAAAACTGGAAAACTGTGATAAACAATGTCAGTTTGAGTAAGAAGGTGAGTGAGTAACAACATTTGCGCGATCAAGAGATATGGTATTACAGCTATAAGCTGGAAGAAGAACTCGTAAAGGCTAGCTCCAACTTCAACCAATGTAAACAGCAAGCCCTTCAGTTAACGCGTGGATAGTGCCGAATACTGCACTGGGCAGCACAATAATCGTGAAATACGAGACCGCTCTGGTTCCTGAAAGCATTTGAAGCTTACTTTCACTCGTTTAACTTGCGTTTGGATCTCGTTACTGCACAATGAATGCTCAGCCTTATCTGCTCCCTCTAGCTTTAGTATAGCTTCCATCCAAACTTAGCTTTCCTTACTGATATAATTACATCAATACGTCTCGCTATCCTAGTGAGTCTTCGCCTGATACTGTATAGGTTAAACGAGGCGTGGATGTAGTCGTGATATCTTAAGAAGTTCTTGAAAACCCATGCCACAAAAACTCGAGGCATTTGCACAATGCATTTGAATGCACAAACAAGAGTTCTTACCCAGACTGTACCTATTAAGATCGCCGCCCTCGTTGGAGAAGACGAATTGTCCGGTCCGCCGTTGTCCGCGATTAACCCGAAGAGTCGTTTTCGAAATGGTCACGCTTCATTCCGGCTTCGCATGCTCCAGGAGCAACATGGAACTGGATTCGAACCGGTCAGTTTCATACCATCTAAATCCGACTACGTCATGATCTTCCCTGGGGCAGTGATCTTTACTATCTGCTTTGACGTCGAAATCTTGATATGACGCGTTAATGCCAGAAGTTCAACATGATCGATTAAGCGCTAAAAGGAGAAGGCATGTGGGGAAGGAGGGGGAGGAGGAGGGGATTTGTTTAGCAGCTGGAGGAAGTGAAAACACATCATGTCTATCATGCTCTGGTCAACAGTACAATGCAAGAAGGTTGTGTAAAATACATACTTGGTTCTTACGCACTTGACGGAAGAAACTTGATTCAGCTTGTGAGGTAGGAGCTTTTCGCTACACATTCTTTTATTGGCTTCGTTGACATTTTTGACAAGTAGGGATCTATTTCACTTTCTAAATTATGCTGCCTTCCTCATATTCAAGAATAGGTAAAAATACACCATAGCTACGCCATTTCTCCCTGATCAATGGTGTCTAATACAGTAGCTATTTCCTACGGATGGAGGCGGCTCGCCAGGGTTTTCCCCAGGGCTGCTAGCGACACGTACCTAAATGTACAAATGGCTGCGAAGAACACGCCCCATGACCCAATGCTAATTTAGCCTACGCGCAGGAT